TAGTGTGAGTGAAATTGAAGGGTGTGCTACATTACTTGTTACTCGCAGGTGCTTTTACTATCTGGTTAGTAAACAAGATGTGTGAAATATACCTAGTTAGTGAAATTGCTGTAATTTGTGTTGTGAGTGGTCGCAAAATGTTAACAGAAGGAGTTCTAGCGAGAGTAGTTGTTGCTGTGAGACGATGGCCTCTCTCCTTTCACTATAATGAACTACTGTAAACTGTGATGACATAAAACTCATTACATTTATTGAGAACCATCTCATGTAAGAAATTAGGTACATTACAAACCCATAATTCATGTCATTGAATGGGAATCATATGTTTATATTTAATGGAGGTAACATACTGCTAACCTGAGTTGTTTTATAGCAATTAACTATTCGATATACAGAACTTCTTGTTATTTATTACTAATGGTTAATTCAAGTGTCAATTAATAATAATTCACACTGATGTCTATTACAGTAATGTACTTGAAAATAATGAATCAAACCAATTTTGATATTTTATGATTCAAATTGTAGTAAAAGATACCTCAGTGGCTTGCATTTGTAGTCAGTTTTATTATTCTTACATAATGCCACGATGTTACTAGAGTCCCTTCATGTAAAATGGCGCAGATGTGGCAGGAAATTATTGAGAGACGGAGGTGCGTGCGTGAGCCAGCAGGTGTGGTGTAGATAATGCTTTGGGAGTGGTCCTGGTTGATATTAGAGGTGGTTACGCAATGCAAAAGTCGGTCAGAATTTGGAGCTTACCGAGTCCACTTCAGGTGTGAGAGGTCGACTTCCTTAGCCCACGAGATACTCATGGGAGCATGACCTAATAAGGATACAAGGGATGTGGCTGCAGCCAGCCCACTCCTTGGTGCTATTTACTATATATTTGTGATACCCGTGGGTAGGTGTAAATGCATTTTAGCAGGGTATATGTAGTCAGTTGGCAAAGGTTCATAGAACTCTGCCAAGAGGATGATAAGTGCAAACTGTCATTGACATTATGACTGGCAAGAGAAAAGAAGTTATGTTTGTTTGGGGAAGGCTTTTATTGTGACATGGCTCGAGGTAATTAAGTGGAATGATGTCAATTACTTATAGAATTCTTGGTTTTGCTGAAATTGTGGATAAACTGTCAGCATGTGTGCAGAATGGTGATTTAATATATTGTAAAATGTAGATAAAATTAAGGATTTTTAATAGAGATGGGACGTACCAAGATCTTGGCACCAAACCAAGCTAGAACTTAACATAGAATCATGTTATCAAACCGAACTTGAACCAAACCTTCAAAACTGTCCACAAACCAACCTCAAACTGAATCATGCAAAAAAAAAAAAAAAAAAAACCCAGCTTTATCCACATATATATGTTTCACAGTTCAACCCTTAATTATTAAATGATATAACTAAAACCAAACACACAGAACCACCTTAATAATTCTACCTCTAATAGATCAACATGTAGCCTAATATAAAAACATAATATACATCTTCACAGCTGAGCCCTTATTTGTTCTATCATATAACCCAAACAAACATGTATAACCACATTCACAGATTCACCTCTAATTGTTGAAACATATAACATAAGCAATAAACACATACATATATACAAGCTGCACAGTTTCACCACTAATGGTACCAAAACGTAATGGCCAATTTTTTTCTAATTTGAAAGAAGGTATGTTTTTGAGATGAAGTAAGTTTGTTTCAAAGTTCGATAATAATGTTCATTTCTGGAAAATTTTCAAACCGAACACAAGCTCATGTAAATTTTTCAAACAGAACTAGGACCAATCTTTGACGCGGGCTAGAGCCAGCGGCAGTTAGCCATGGCGGCACTCGCCGCTAAAGACGTGGGTAGCACATGCGCACAACCCACATGACCACAGACTTTCCCAACGGGAAACTATCTCCGTGTTATGTATTTTATTCAGGGTCCAAATGTGTTGCAAGTATGTTATGTATGTTTTTTCAGGGCAAAAATGTTATACAGTGTAAATGTTCTTTTCTTAATATTGTGCCATGTTGGCTTTGAAATTTAAAGTGCGCGCTGTGCTGAAGAGATGGACACTGATATTCAGGCGTAAATGCCTTCAAAGGACATTCTTGGATAACAATATTTCTGATTTAAATTGCTTTAATAATTTTGTATTAAAAATAATTGTGTGCCATTTACTTTCACATATTAATATTTTTGCTTGGTGTGCATAGCACTTCCGCTTGTGTGAATCCGTAGGCAGCCATGGTAGGTTCCCGCGACCCTGCCTCTAGACAGTTGTTCTAGGAGAGCTGGCCAGGTACGATGCAGTCACATATGCACTTCATAATTTTACACTGAGTTAGCATTCATAGTTTTCTGTAGTATACTGGTTAACCTTTGCTTTGCGTACGTTTTGCCAGATATCCCAGCAATATGCTTCCAATAACTAATTATTTTACGCCCTTGTGGCTTTTTTGCAATTTTAACGGAGATGAGGAGGAATGGCAGAGAGGCCATGCAGCCTGCGCAATTGTAAATCAAGTGACATCAGCCCATGTTAAGGGTTTTCTACTGTAACTTTTGCGTTAATTGCTTTGGGCAATATTGAAAGTAACTTTGCACATGCATATTTTTAGGGTTTTGGCATGTTTAATTGTTTTACCGCCACATAATTTGCGACCACATGGTTAACAGCCGCAAAGTCTGTACCTGCGTCATCCTTGTACTTAAAGTGTTCTTTCTTGTAATTTCATGTGCGCCATAATTTCTCACGGTAATATGTATTGTTTCAATTAAGGGTTCTTGAAATTTTTCATGTTTTATGCTTTTGTGTATGACCACGCTGTCTTTTACATATGTTGAATTTTCCATCATCAGGCACACTACAAGCTTTTGTATGCTTGAATCACACAAAGAATACTTCTCTGAAAGCCGTAGTCATTCTTTCCGGTAATAATTTACCAATTTTCACAGAAAATATTGTGTTTTACATCTGCCCAAGTGATACGCTACGAACTTCATTCAGTGGCATCCGCGCCATATTAGACTGTCTTCATGCATCCACGTGTTTATTCTGCCTGTTCATGTTGTGCCCCACCTTCATTAAGTAATATTTGGTGTATTTTGTACGGCAGTATTGTTTGATCCTAGCCCACTATATGTATTAACCGTCGCTACACAACACGTTCGGGGACAAGTAGACGTTAGAGAATAAACGCATGTGGTAACCTCATTTTTTTTTTCATTCCCAGTGTCCTGACTCCCGGAAAAATCTACAATCCACCCTAGCAGCTGTAGACCCGTTTCCTTGTGAAGACTGTGTTCTCATACACCATGGAGAAATCATCCATCAAGTAGTGCAGAAGTTGAGTTACGTGCTGGGGGAATCACCCACAGGAACTGGCTAGTCACGTCCAAGATTAACCATTTAATATTCATACTAGCACAGCGTGTAACTGTAGCACAATAAAATCAATCTTCCCAGTGTAAATTTATGTATCTTTGTAGCGTCAGAACCCAGCTTCTATTCCATTTAAGTGCAGTTTTTTCTTGAATTGGAAAGTGTTTGTAAGTCTGCACGGGTGAGACGAATGCACGAGAACCCACAGCATCCCTGAGATTCCTGAGTCTCAAAGTGCGGTGCGTAGGAACCACCGCTGGCGCCCACCCACCAGTACGTAATGGTGTATTCGTTCGTCATTGTATCTCACCCGATGGCGTCATCTTTTACATGGCAATAAATTTTTAACCGAACCAAACATAACCTTAAAGTTCAGATTCTGTTTAAAATTTTGACACTTGACCCATCTCTAGTTTATAATGAGGAAAATGTAAACATTAGGTGAGTTGGAACATTTTTGTAAGGAGGTGATGCACTACAGAGTTTTGAAAGCACTGAAATATAATACTTGTTTTGGTAAAAAATTTTCATGGAAGTTATACTTTGAGAAAGAGAGGCAATTCATTATTTATGTTTTGCGATTATGACGCACCACATAGAAGGTTTAAGTCACAACATTATTGAAGTATAAGATTATACGGAGAAAGAAATTGAACTTTACTTAGCTTAATAAAGGTCATATGTCAACAGAACAGTATTGGGAGAATAGAGAGTTACATGTGAATTGAGTCTTCCTTTTGTATTGTCAAGTGAGGAATTAGTGGAATGTTTAACAAGTTTGAAACAGAGTAGAAAATGGAATTGTTTGGGGATTAACTGAGGAATAAATCGAGTACCGTAAGCCAGGACTACTTTGCTCTAAGAAAACTGTTTCAGAGTTCTCTAGCAAGTACTCTGGTGAACACAGTAATCTGCTTGTACGGCGACAGATGGCACCACTAGGCTTAAAAATAAGTCTCTAGCAGCCACTCCTTTGGTAATTACTGTCGCACACAGTTTAGTGAAAATGTATGTGTATTTTTGTTGAACTTTATGGTGTAGAAAAGTAGTCCGAATTCTGCATAAAGTAGCAAACAAATGAGATTTTTTTTAGTTTTAGATCAGCTATTTATCTGTTATTTAGAATCTGTAATTGTTATTCATTTATACATGTCTTTTATTTTGTTATGTTTACTATTCTTAAGCAGGTTAGGATTTCAGTATAAATGGGGCTACTTTGCTCCAGTCAAAAAGTAGAGCAAAATAACCCTACATTTTGCATTTCTAGTTACTTTTATCGTTATTTTCCTTTGATCAATCATTAAATGTATGTATGAGACTGTTTGTGTGTTCACTGATGTGTGTGATGTTTGAGGTCTGTGTGTGCATGGTCACGACAAGAATTTACACTATATACAGTTATTTTGACACTATAACCATAAAAGTCACAGGAACCTGATATATGCCAGTATCAGACAGTGGAATAGTGATTATATATTTTGTTAGCAGCAACAGAGCAGCCTTGAAAATATTGCCTAGCGTGTTTACATTAATATAGTGTCAATTTATTAATGATATGTACTCACTGACATTAATTTTGCATTTGTTAACCCATTTTATGAAGTTTCTTATGCCTGTCTCCATGATGTAGTGGTTAGCACCACTGCTTGTTAACCGTAGATTCCAGGTTCAATTCCTGGCTGGGGAGGGGAATTTTTAGTTTCCAGGAAATTTCAGGACTGGATGTTTGTGCTGTCCCCTTCATCCCCATCTTCTAGAGTCTGGTTCGGGCATGAGCGTGACGTGGTTCCTACAAGCTTTTGGACTGTTTACCTCATCATCATCAAAGGCTTTAATTTTAGCTGCTGTGGCTACACAAAATGGCTATGTTACTCTCTTTGGAACCTAAATCACACTCTTCCGGTTTAAAAAAAATATGAACAAGAAACAAATCTATGTCATGAATTCTTTCATTCCAAAAATTATGTGTTTATACAAGTAAAAGTTGGGGGTCTGGAGATATGTGGATTATACACCCCAGTAGTGTCACAAGTGCTTCGAAGCTGTCAGGACAGGCATATTGTCTCACTGTAATCTGCCGATAAATTTAAAGTCCTTGGTATACATCTTTAAGATATTGAGAGAAAAGCACCAGAAATCACCAGGTAAACAGCCTGCCTTTTTTGGAGATTACGAAAATAACGTATCATACATTGAGACAATGAGTGATTTTGGGTTTCCCCTAACCATATATGACTTGTGCTACATAATCAGGTCATATCTGGATAGAATCATATGTAATATACAGTACTTTTCACACAACATGATGGGAAGAGATTGGACCAAGTGTTTCTTAAAACATCATCAATTAACTGAAATATTTCCAGCCAACATCAAATGAACCAGAGCAGCTATTAATGAACATATTTTGCGAGAATATAACAACTTAGCAGAAGTTACCCAAATTGTACCAGCAACCAATATTTGGAATTTGGATGAAACAAATCTGACAGATAACCCAGGACAGAAAAAAGTTATATGTCACAGTGGTGTAAAACATCCAGAAAAAATCTGTAACTTTTTAAAATCAAGCACATCATTAATGATTTGTGGCAGTGCCACTGGTGACATTATGCCACTCCATGTGGTCTACAAATCTGGGAAATTTAAGACAACATGGACGGAAGGTGGCCCAGTAAATTGCACATATCAATTTTCTTCAGGATGGTTTAATGCTGGATACATACAACGACTGGTTTGAAACAACACTCCTGTCCAAATAGAAGAAACTGGAAGGAAAAAGGTTATCATTGCGGACAACTTGTCTACCCATTTCAACATCCCAATCTTACAGAAGTGTCATGAAGAGAACATCCACTTTCATGTCTACCACCTAACAGCACAAATTTAACTCAACCGCTAGATGTCGCTTTCTTTTGTCCAATGAGAATTGCATAGTGAAAAGTACTCAATTTGGCCGAAAGCAGACAAGTAAATGTATGAAAAGTAATGTCTTTCCAAAGCAACAATTCCCTTCAATAATTGAAGAAATGCCTGGGAGAAATGCAGCCAAATTTAAAGAAAAATCTAAAAAATAGTTTTTGAAAATGTGGAATATTCCCATTTGATGTTGAGACATGAGACAAGAGCGCATAACACGAAAGGATTTGCACAAAGAAGATATTACTGAAACCTTCCTTGACGTTCTGCAAACAACAAAGATTGCTCAATCTACTAGTAAGGGTGTAACCAACACAATGGAAAGAAAAAAGGATAAATGTTCCTGCAGGTAAGAATGTATCCCATGCAGAAGTCGTCGTTCAGGCAAGTAGATTATTTTATAACTTGCACTGAGCATAGCACCACATGTATCGTTCCAGCATTATTGAACTACAGTGCACTCTTTCTCATTGCTTGGTTTCCCATACCTTGCTACCTACAATAGCCCACAGCTATTGAAGATGATTCAACCCAATATGATGACCGTGGTAAATCATCTGGTCTGTTAAGAAAAAACCACAAAAGAAGGCAGAAGAAATGGATGGATACCAGTGATGAAGATGCAGTCAATTGAGACAATACACAGATATACTTTCAAGGATCAGAAAATGAAGAAGAATATGTATTCCAACTAGTAAACTGACAAATCGGAGCGTTTGACATATTCAAGTATGAAGATCAACTATATCCATTAGTTACTGAAAGTTTTAATGAACTTGGTGTAACAATAAGTGCAATGACGAAGTCTTTGAAATATTGGAAGTGGCCATCCAAAAATAACGTGTAAAATACAAAAGGTTTTGTAGGTTCTGTAATTGTTTGGTACCAATAGTCTACATACACAATGCCAGAGAACTTACTTTGGTCAAGTAGATTATTTTATAACTTGGACTGAGCATAGCACCACATGTATCGTTCCAGCATTACTGAACTACAGTGTACTCTTTCTCATTGCTTGGTTTCCCATACCTTGCTACCTACTTGGATCCCCACCTTGATACCAGCCTATTCCCTCCTCTCCGTGTTTGCGCAGCGCCAAGACGTCTAGTTGAACGACTGTTTATTACGGCCTTACCCCATTCTGTGGAGTACATTTATACACTTGCTCACTTGCCCAATCTCTTCTGATGACCTACGAGACTTCCAGGTGACGACTTTGCTTGCTTCATTGCTATCATCTCCAATACCTAGGGAACGTTTGATTAATATGTACAAATAGCTTGGCCGATGTTTATTAAGATGGGTCATGGCGTGCAATAGTTATTGTTGTTGTATTTTTGCTGGTTGATGTAATTTTGGGGCTAGATTAATAGTAGTAGTTTTGGTAGTTCATTGTCTAAATTTTTTGTTTGGTAGCTGTTCAAAAGACTGATTTGGTTTAAAGTACTGTAACAACTGTAAACTGTTAGCGCCTATCAATTTTGCTGATGGCTTTTCTTGAGCCCTGGGGAAGGCATATGTGTACTGCTGCTGTTGCTGTTTACTGTAGTCAAGTACACATGGTATTATTCTTGTTGGCACTGCATAGATTCTTTGTATTTTGTTTGGGTCATGCCATGCACCTTCAGATTTAATTTAATTTTAATAAGGTTGAAAAATGTTTGTAATGTATTATCTGAATGTGTGTTTTATTCGGTACCGGCTTTGGTAGGACCGAAATTAATATATAGGGCTGCCCGGCATCAAGCTAGGGTTTTTTAGGGGTGTCAAAGTCGATTCCTTGATACCTCAACATCCTCAATTATTACAGGTATTGAAGAATCAAGAATCGAACGGTTAACTGTTATAGATCCTCGTCCACCTTCACATGAATTTTTTAGGTTATGTTGCACAGCAACAGATCTTTGGTTTTCCAAATAGGCTGAACCTGTACCAAACTCGCATGCGTTGACTGGAATTAACGTATATTTTTCCCGGCCCCAGCTAAATTCCTATTTATTGAAGCTGAAAATGTCATTATTATCAATTTTCAAACATATTTTTTATTATCAGGCGTAAAAATTATTCATTCCCTTCGCTAAAAATTGCATTCAATAATGGTTCGACTATGAAATAATTAAAATAGTACAGAAGAACCTAGATTAACCGTAACGATGCAGGGGAAGAGATAGTTGGATAATCAAAACTCGCTGTTAAACTAGTCGTTTTTATCTTGATGGCTGCCTCACTTCATCCAACATCACTCTGTGTGCTGTGTGGTGCGGCTTTAATGGGAAAACTGTACTCGTTTTCTTTTTTGTGCACTTTCTGACATGATTCAGTACCACATGTATACTGCTGCAAGAATGCTACAAATGCACGTGGAAATCTACCACACAATATCTAAACCTGTAAATGTCCATGTAGAAGAAACACTAAAACAAACTGGCAGTCACGTATGAAAGACCACAGCCGCACACGCGGATACTGTTGGAAATAGCACTTTGTTGCGCGTAAGTGCTGCGATCAGCGTAAGTTGGTAAGCTGCGCACCAGAAGTTGGCTTCGGTCTGCAACCAGATGTGACTTGTAGATAAGAACCCTCACTAGCGGCAAGCTCCTAGAGTTACAGGTCGCTTACACGGAACATGCATTGGCTTTTAGTCTGTTGTGCAGTAGTTATTAGTAGTGGGAGCATAAGGACCCTGGTATTGTTTTTCAAATTTTTTATTTTGTCTACCTATTATTTAGCGGTATATGAGATAAAAAACAGGTACATTTTTCGTACCATACATATTTCCTGTTTGTGACGTTTTCGTTTTTTAGGTAGTCGAGATTGAAAGCAATTTTTTTCATGCTTACCTTTACCAAAAAATCCTGTTTCTTTTTCTAAAAGTGGGTAGTGTTAAGTTTTCAATGTACTTTTTCAATGTACAATTTACTTAGACATAAAGAACATGTCTAGCGATGTGTGGAATTATTTTTCAGTAATGTAAATGACACAAATTACACATTTTGCAGTTTGTGCTCAGCAAAAATTTCATGAGGTGGGGCTAGTAGCACAACTAGTAACTTAAGAAAACACTTAAGTACACACGACAAGTACAAGAAAATTGCCAAAGATGCATGTAGCAACAAGTCATCTAGCATCCCTGCAACTTAAAGTGTCCAGTAGAAGCATTTTCATTTAGTAATGCTAAATGAAAAGATACTTGTATTTCAGTTTCATTACTGAATAGAATCAATGGTTGTGTACATATTGGTTAGCTTCATAAGTTGACCTAAAATATTGCATTGAGAAGTTGAGAACTATTGTTTAACTTTTTTGTATAATACTTTGTGTATATTCATTTCTAATAAATCATACATTTATCAAAAATACTGATATAAACTTGTTAGGCTTAATTGGATAAGTTTGAATGTTACATAAATATAGGAAATTAACTTCACTTAGCAGACCAAAAAGTATTTCCTGTAATTGTCTTCATATTTGTGTCTAATTTGACCTATAAAACCAAATTTCAAAAGGATACATTGAGTATAGGCACATGTTGATAATCACTATATCTTAATTTATGGTATCGGAATCAAGGTGGAATCTAGTGAAAGGTTTTGCAGTTGGAATCAAGAATCGGAACCAAGAAAAATCAATATTTTGACATCCCTAGTTTTTTTATAATATTTTATAGTGTATGTATTTTTTTTTTTTTTTTTTGGTAAATCACTTAATGACAGCTTTGAAAGGGGATTATTTTATTTCTTTACATTTTCGCTGCCCGACTTTAAATTGT